AAACTATGAAGGAAACTATAGAAAAACTAATTAAAGAAAATATTGTTGAAATAAAAGAATTACTACTAAATATAAAAGAAATACTCACGACAACAAATAATTACAGTTATAATAACAGAAAAATTCAAATAATAAAAGAACTTAACGAAGCTAAAGAATTAGTAAATAATATTATTATAAGAAATAACGGAAAAGAAATAATAGATCCAGATGAAAATGAAAAACCAAAAATATTAGAAATAATAGAACAATTACAAGAAATAATCGAACGACTTAATCAAAATAAATATATCACTATAAAAGACTTACAAAGTTATTTTAAAAAAGAAACAAAAGAATTAATTATTATCGATAAATCTAATTTTCGAATTAGATCACCACCAAAGATATAATGGAAGGACTAGATGATCAGATAGAAAGATTATCAACATTATTAGCGGCTCTTAATATACCCGAAGAAGAGGAACCTGATGAAACTGAAAAAATTGTCTTAGACTATAGCAGCGATGAAAATCCCTACGAAAATCCATATAATATCCCATTCCTAGTAAAAACCGAACTAGAAAGGGGGGAGAATAGTAATAATAATACATTACCTAAAAAACGAACACATGATGAATATCAAGGATAAAAAGATCATGAATATGAACTATACCAAAATCAATATATTCCGAAAGGGAACAATTGGAGAAAAGTTCCTTTTGAATATATTCCAAAATATGATACATTTAATATAAAATCCTCAGAAATATTAAATTTAGATTGCGAAATTAATCCAACTAGAACACTAGAAGATTGGAAAAATCGTACAAGTTTGTTAATACAAACTAATAAGGAATTAAGAGAATTACATCCTCACGAAATGTTAAGCTACTTAGAACATAAAACAACGGGAATAGTATACAACTACTTAATAGGATTATCAACAGGAATAAAAGCAGAAAAAATTCTAAGATCAACTGCATGAGAAACATTTGTTAGGCTAATTGACGTAATAGGAGAAGAATTCCTTGGAAGAACTTCTAACGCACAATTAAGAGAAACACAAATATCAGAAGTAGCACTATGGAAAATAGTAAATCTTAGAATTTGTAACATGTGCTATCTTGAAGCATTCATTTGCGAATTTAGAGATCATTACTATCAGAAAATAGTAAATCTTAGAATTTGTAACATGTGCTATCTTGAAGCATTCATTTGCGAATTTAGAGATCATTACTATCAACTAGTGACAGATAAGAAAATAGTAGCCGAAGAATTATTCTTTGATAAATTACCGCTATCAATATCGGAAGAAGTAAAAACTATATTTCAAAATAAAGTAAACGAGGGACAAATTCCCAATACTCTAGGAGGAAGAATAACAACATTAAAAGATTGGCACTTATTTCAATGCAACCAAGAAAAACGAAAACAAGAGGCAAAAATCGATAAATTATGTTGTGGCGCAATACGAGGAAAAATAGGCAAATATGGTTGTGAACCTATTCGCCAAAAACATAAGAAAAAGAAATGGAGAAAAATTCCATATAAAAAATAGAGGAAACAAAAATATATACCACAAAAATATTTCAGAAATAGAAAACAATACAAAAAGAAAAACTATGGTAAGAAGGATACATACTGCCCTTCTAAGAAAAAGAATTGTAAATGTTGGCTATGCCAAGAAGAGGGACATTATGCAAATGAATGTCCTAAAAAAGGAAAGAAAAAAGAAATAGAAATACAACGAATAGCATACGATATGGGATTTGATCCAATCGAATCAGATTTAGAGTTTGACTCTGACATCGAAATATATGCATATACCATTGAATCATCCGATTAAGAAAATGAATAGAAAAATACTAAAATCATGAAACCCTAATACAACATTTATACAAATAACTATTGAAAAGAAAAAATTATTAGCATACATAGACACTGGAGCAACTCTATGTTTCGTTAAAAGAAATATCATCAAAAAATGGGTACGATTAGAGAAACCACTACGGATAGTAGTGGCTGATAAATCAGCTCATGAAATCTGGTATGTGGCTCAACACGTATCAATAATTATTGAGACTAAAATATTTCCAGCAAAAACAATATATCAACATGATTCTGGATTAGATATAATTATAGAAAATAATTTCCTAAAATTATATCAACCATTTATACAGAGAATAAAAACGATCAGCCTAAAAGCACCTAAAATAGAAAATAAAAAATCAGAATTAGTTACAACAAAAATAATAACAAAAAATAAAATAATAAAATCTATTATAGAAGATTTAAAAAACAGACTAACATTTATAAGTATGACTCATATTGAACAAAAACTTGATGAAATATGTAGTGATAACCCATTAGATATAAAAAATACAAATGAAGAATTAATAGTAATAAAACTAAAAAACCTCGAAGATGAAATTAATGTACCAAATAAAATGCAATATACCCACAGAGATGTGGAAGAATGCACCAAAGAATGTAAAGAACTACTAGATAAAGGTATTATATGAGAAAACACGAGTCCACATTCGGCTCCAGCTTTCTACGTAGAAAATAATAATGAGATAAAACGAGGAAAAAGAAGAATGGTAATAAACTATAAAAAATTAAATGAAGCAACTATTGGGAATAATTATAAATTACCAAGAAAATATTATATTCTCGAAAGAATAAAAGGAAAAAATTGGTTTAGCGGTCTTGATGCTAAATCAGGATATTGGCAGCTTCGATTATCAGAAGAAACAAAGCCATTAACGGCATTCTCATGCCCCCCACAAAAACATTATGAATGGAATGTTCTTCCATTCGGATTAAAACAAGCACCAGCAATATATCAAAAATTCATGGATAGAAATCTCCGTGGATTAGAAGAATATTGCCTAGCATACATTGATGATATAATAATATTTACAAACGGATCACAATCAGAACACACTGAAAAATTAATCACTGTTCTAGAACGATGCAAAGAAAAAGGATTAATTATTTCTAAAAAGAAATCAAAATTGGTACAACAAGAAATTGAGTATCTTGGATTAAAAATAAATAATAACGGAGAAATTGAACTAACAAATAATGTACATGAAAAAATATAACAATTTCCTAATGAATTGACATATAGAAAACAAATACAAAGGTTCCTTGGGTGCCTTAA